CTTTGCTTACCAGCTGATGAATATTTGGGTTGTTTCCACTTTGGGGCTGTTCTGAAAAAAGCATCTATGAGCATACGAGGTGTGATCAAAAGATATGGTAAATGTTTAAATAAAAAGCATTTATTACAGTAAAAGACACATTGCTATTAATACCCCTCAAAATATTCCCCCTCACTTCAAACACACTTATCCTATCATTCTTGCCACTTTCTGAAGCAGTTCTGGAAGTCTTCTTTCATGAGTGTCTTTACCTTATCCTCCATCACGACAATGCTCTGTGTCACACATCACTTCTGGTGCGGCAGTTTCTGTCAAATAAAAACATTATGTTGTGTCCTTATCCATCTTATTCACCAGATCTGTGCAACTTCTGGCTCTTCACCAAAGTCAAAATGATTCAGGACATAGAGGCAGACAAACAGTGCAACTAAAGACACGAAAGAGGACTTCCAGAACTGCTTCAGAAAAGTAGCAAGAATACATGGGATAAATGTGTTCGAAGTGAGGGGAGTATTTTGAGGGGGATTAATGGCAATGTGTCTTTTACTGTAATAAATTTTTTAATTTAAATATTTAGCATATTGTTTGATCACTCCATGTACGTGTCTTTGTGTGGATATATGTTTTCATTTCTCTTGAGGAAATATCCAGGCATGGCAGTGCTGGTTCATTAAGTACGTGTTATCATCTCTATTTTACAGATGAAAGATTGAAGCTCAGAGAGGTTAAGCAGCTTGTCTGACTTCACACAGCTTGGAAGAAATTCAAAGCCAAGTCTGACCTCTGTGCCAGGTGGTCCCCTATAGGAGACAGATATTTTCTTGAGTTGAAAGTACCTCCCTAGTTGGGAGGTACACTGTACACTGTAGTGATATGTACATGAGCTGAATTCAGCTGTGTTCAGGCTGGAGCTTACATCAGTAGACACAATGAACACAGCATGTGTTCAGGGACACAGGGCACCCTGGAAGGGCAGCTCAGCAGATGACTTCTGGAAGCCTATGCAACAGGGCTGTAGAGTTTTTGTTTCATTTTGCAAAGGTGGTGTTTGCCAGGTTTCTCCACTGTAAAGTTTCCATTTTCCCTTTGTAATTAGTAATTTGAGAGGAGAGACTTTAAGAGTAAATATGTTATTTCCATCAAGCTCTCACCCACAGGTCTGACTATCCATTGTCAATTTCCTAACTTTTATATTTGTTAATTGGCATTCTTCCATTAAGGAGAACTTTCTCGGGCCAGCCGAGTGGCTCAGTTGGTTAAGAGCTCACTCGAGTTTGAGCTCTGAGCAACAGCGGCTCGATTCCCAGCCTGAGCCGATCAGCCGCTGAGCTGCCAACAGGTAGCAGGATGGCTCAGCTTAAAAAAAAACAAAAAACAAAAAAACAAGGAGAGCTTTCTCCACTCCTCATTCATATCAGTATGCCTCATGGATTATCTTATTATGTGAGCTACCACTATCGTTTTAATGCTCACCGTACCTCAGATTTGGCCAGCAGCAGTCTCCTTAAGCTGACTCTTGTGTCCTTTTAACACGCCCCATGATTTTCAGAGCTCTTCCTTATTCTGTGGTGTACGATGTTCCAGGCTCTTGTATTTCTGCAGCAGCCCTGGTCTCTTTCAGTGGAGAATGGCATTGAGAAACCAAGATTTGTTGGGCCAGCCAAGTGGCTCAGTTGGTTAAGAGCTCGCTCAAGAGTGTGAGCTCTGAGCAACAGAGGTTCGATGGATGCCCAGCCCAAGCTGAGCTGCCGCTGAGCTGCCAACAGGTGGCAGGACGGCTCAGCTAAAAAAACAAAACAAACAAACAAAAAAACCAAGATTGGGGCGCTAGAGGCACTCCTTATCACTGGGATGTGCCCTGGCTTTTAGGCCCCTGAAGCTACAGGATTTTATGGCAGCAGGTTAGGTGAAAGGCAGGGTCATGAGACAGGACTTGTATGAGAGGGCTCAGCAAAATCAGGTGATGACCAAAGAGAACCTAGAGGAAATGGCAGGTTCACTTGGTGGGGGAACCCAGGCCAGGCCGACCAGGCAGTACAGTTTCTCTGTTGAGAAATATCTCTACAAATTTCACAAATTTATATACGTCCTGGGTGGGGGTGACATCCTCCAGCTCTTCTTGCTTTGGTGTGAATTACTTCCAGGGCAGAGGACCTGACAGGCTGGTTCTCAAGGATGATGGTGGAGGGTCAGGAAGACTGCGGTCAGGTGTGGCAGGGGAAGGTTGGTCTCATGGGCTCCAGAGGGTAGACTGTCTCCCATAGCAACAGAAAACTGCATGGATTTCTTCTGGCACAGATCCTGTGCTGTGTGCAAGGCTGACCAGCCAGCTGGCTCACGAAGCCTGATCACTAGAGGGAACTTCAGGAATCAGAAGTGGTGACTCATTACATGGGGCCACAGTCTCAGCGTTGATTTCTCTGCGAATAGCTGTACCTTTGGTCATGTTTGGGTACCCTTCATTCTGAAGGGCCTGCTGGCTCTGCAGTCTCCTGGGGCAGGAGCAGTGCTGGGCCTCATGTGGGCAGCAGATGGAGGCAAGTGCTATCTGTTTCCAGTGGTTTCACATGCCTTACCCTGCTAGTGTCCACCACAGTTCTGGGACAGCATGCCTTCCAGACAAGGATGCTGAGGACAGCCAGGCTGAAAACAGGAGTCACCAGTCTCTGCCAACTCTTGTTCTTGGTGCAGCCTGGCTAGTCCCCTGGCATGGCCACAGCAGGGCAGCCGCTGTTTGAAGGCACAGGGAGTCCCAGTCTCTGAGACTAACCTGAGCAGTCTGGAGGGCCGAGGGGTCAGTGGCCTTGCTCCCTCACAGGATACTGAACCCTGCCCCACTCAGCTTTAGCCAGGCTGTCCTGTGATAAAGAAAGGATGCTAGCCTTGTAGCTTGACTTGTAGGAACCAGCTGGGGAAGGTGCTACATCACACTGGGTTGAGGGGTAGGATGAGCCATAGGATGAAAATGACTAACTCTTCACTTGTCTCTGCTGTTATCAATCCCTTGACACTGTACCCAGGGGGCGGGTTCAGGGCCCTACAAACCAGTCTAGATAGGGCTGGGAGGGCTTGGAGTGAAGGAAGCCAGTGGTTTCAAGAGAGGTAAGGCTAATCCTAGAGGGGAGAACCCCAGGTGCTAGGAGGAGCAGATGGAGGGGCAAGTCAGGGAGTGGTGACCTGGGGCCTTAGGCCTTAGGCAACCAGGGAGAAGCTCCGGGACCTGGCACTAGGGAGGGACCCTCGAGACTTCAGGGCACTAGGGAAGGCCAGATGGACTCCCTTCAGGGCTGCTCCACTAAGTGTCCTTGGGGCCTGGTGAAAGCCACCCAACTTTACTTTGCTACTTTGTCCTCATATGCAAATAAGAATAATAATTCTGCTGGCATACTTCTCAGGATGTTTGTGAAAAAAATAATAAAAGACAGTAAGTTAAATAGAGGGGAGAAGAGACAGAGAGAGAAAGAAAAAGAGGAACAGGAAGAGAATGAGACAATATAAACAGGAAAAGAAGAAGAAACAGAGAGTCTCCTTTTGTTGTTAGGACACAGAAGCCACTGTGAAAAGGGACCATTAGGGAGTGCTGCATAGTGAGACCACTGGTTGGGGTGGTGGTGGGGGAGGGGGGGCAAGCAAAAAGACAATTTCTAGAAAAACAGATGGTTAACAATTTGATGTTTTAAAAGTATATCTTTTATTATAAAGTCTCAGAATGCACTAATTTAGATGGCCCATATGATTTAAGCATCTTGTGTAATTTTCCACAATAGGAAGATCTCCCCTAACAGTAATCCATAATATTCCTTTTGCATTGTATGATGAAGGTGAGCAAAATTAGTTAACGTTGGGACAAGCACTAAGGGAAGGTAAAAGGGATAGTCATTCCCGTATGAGTTTCACTTCTCAGATTTAAGTTAGCATTGTTATTTCATGTGGTCATTCTCATTTTGTCTCAAACACGAAGGTCAAAAAGCAATCTCTCTTTCTGTTGCATTCCCCAGTAGCTAAGAAGCTGTCATTAACTCTATGTCCATTTTAGGAACATCTTTCATTAAAAAAATTAGAATAAAATTAAAAATTTAAGTATACATACCAAATATTCTTATTTATGTTTGTAAGTATAAGGGAAAATAAAGTGAAACTACTTAAGCTGTGTAAGTTAAAAAAGCAGTATACAGAATTGCACATAATGATCACAACTACCTAAAAACTACCTAAAAACTTATCCAAAAATAAAACACCAGCACAAAGATCTATGCATAGAGAAAAGATTGGATGGAAAGTTACAGAAGGAATGAGAGGTTTTTTCCTTGTGTTTTCCAAATTTTCTATTTTTTTTATTTTTTATTTTTTAGAAAGGCAAACTGCCACAGGCAGCGTTTCATTTGGATGTGTCTGGAGTCTTGGAAGCTTAACTACCCTATGTTCTCCTACAAATGGACCTTGAGAGCTTGTTTGGAGGTTTTAGCAGGGGAGCGCAGCTACTCGTATACCCTTGACCGAAGAATGGTCCTCTCCTCTATCGGGGAAGGTTGTCCTCTTCAACCAAGCACGCAGCTTCGGGAGGGATGCACATGGAGCAGTGAGGGAGGAAGGGGACACCCGCCTAGCCAGCCAGATCACCTGAATCAACCTGGCGATGAATGGGGTGACAGATGTCGCAGCCAGATCGCCCTCACATCCAAAATTTTCTATTGTTAATATGGATAACATAATGTAAAATATGTAACAAAAATAATTTTAAAGAAATATATGTACTAGCACCTGATAAACAGAAGAATTAGAGATGATCAAGATCATAGAAAATTTGGGCAGCTGAGTGGCTCAGTTGGTTAGAGCGCATGCTCTGAACAACAAGGTTGTGGGTTTGGGCCGGCTGAGTGGCTCAGTTGGTTAAGAGCTTGCTCAAGAGTCTGAGCTCTGAGCAACAGAGGTTCGATGCCCGGCCCGAGCTGAGCTGTCGCTGAGCTTCCAACAGGTGGCAGGATGGCTCAGCTAAAAAAAAAAAAAAAAAGAAATTCCGAGATCATTCATTTGTAATCATGTATATGAAAATAGCCAAGATGTCAGAGATTTAATATCTAAGCAAGTGTAAAAGGGATATGAATAAAAAAATAGAGAATATTATTAATATACATGTGGGGTGTTTCTAAGGAACCAGTAGTGAATGAAGTCCCCAGGTGTGGTAGGTGAGGGAAGGAGTGAGCAAAGGTATGAGGAAAAGTCCATCTCTAGATTACTTAGTAAACAATTGTTGAATTCCTGCTATGTGGATTAGGTCAGGAACTGTGGACAATGAGGTAGAAGATAGATTTAAATCCCACTCTCAAGAAAACATACTGAGATCATCCTTTCTGTGGCACACTTGGCTTAGAATGTTAGAACCCAAAGGGATCTTAAAGACCTTGATTTTATGCATGCATAATCTTAAAAGTACTCCACTTTTTAAACAAGTGGGAGCAAAGTGATTTTTTATTTAGCTCTGTATTTTTGAGGTCCTTCCAACGACCTTCTTTGTATTGGCTGTATGATTCTCTGCAAAGCAGAGGAACCATTTACTCATCAGCTCAGTCTGATAGCCAAACAGGTTGTTGTCAGGCTTTTACTATGACAAACACCTGCCAACGAACATCTTTGTTCCTGAGCCTTTGACACCTCTGCTAATGGGTCTGTAATAAAAATTTCAGGAAGGAGACCCAGATATTTTGACATTACATTCTCCCTCAGTCTCTGCCTTACAGATGCCAACTCTAGCTCCGCTGATCAGCTAAGGCCCCTGACTTGGGGCAGCTGCTTACCTAGAGGCCTGGTGGGTGCCGCTCCCACCTCTCTTATTTCAACTGCTGGACTGGAAATGTGGTCTGCAATCGGAAGGTAGGGGGTGGGATCCATAATGTACTGAGAAACCAAGTAGACGTAGAATGACGGAAAGAACGATACTGTAAGTTGTAAAGGGGTATTTTAGGAAAGGAAATCTGGGGAGGGAAAGGTGCTTTTTGGATTAGAGAAGCATGGGGTGAAAACATCGAATGCAGGTTAGTCACATCCCACAGTGCCTCCAACGCCAGCACGATGAATCTGTATAATCTGTGGGTGATGGGGGTGGGGAGCGAAGGAAGGATTCAGCGAGAGATTCGGGTTTTAAACTCTGCCTCTAGGGGGTGCGTGTCACTCCCTGTCTGGGCAAAAGTCTCCTTATCAGCTTTCAGCTTGAATGATAACTAAACACAGACCCCTGTACAACTTAGTCGATCTCCAGGGGGGTGGTTTACGGTTAGGTGACAGACAACGATAATTTCTAAGTTCTTTAGAAAAAAAAACGAGACTCCAAAATTAAGAGGCCTACAAACAACTTGCCATGGACCCGAAGTCGGCCGCATCTTCTCCTACCGGCTCGGGGATAGGCCTGAAGCGCACGCGATGACCCTCCTGAGGATTTGCTTTGAAGTTGCGGCCCCAACGACTCCCGCAGACGCTGGAGGACCGAGGTTCGTGTACGTAAGCGTGCCCGTACCCGCCCCGCTGCGGGAGAGGCTGCCGGGAGCCAGAGGCGGGGCCAAGCCCGGCTGGAAATTCCAGTGCGCAGAGCTGCAGAGGGCAACAGGCGTGCGTGGGCGCAGCCGGACACTGAGTAGGCGCGTGCACGCTCCCCGCGGCCTCCGTCCGGTGCTCCGAATTGGGTGCGCGCCCGCGCGGGTTGCTCCGGGCGCGAGGAGAGTTGAGCGCGCACGGGCGAGCCGGCCGTGACGTGCGCCGCTCTACGCCCTACGTCACGGTCCTTGTGTAGTGGCGGCCGGGCTTCCCTCAGCGTCGGCGCCTGACGAGGGTGGTGCGGCCGCTCGTTGCGGCGTTCGGGGGTCCTGCGGCTCGCACGGCGACGACGAGGACCACGACCTGGAGGCCCGGCACCCTTAGCCGAAGAGTCGCCACTCCAGCCCTTGCTCCGGCCTCTGGCAGCGCCCAGCCCGCGGCTTCCTCCTTTCCTGCCCAGCTTCCCGCGGGCCTCGGGGCCGCGGCCGAAAGAAGCACCGAGGGGCGCCGAGTGGCCCCCGTCTCCCGCGACGGCCCGCGCGACCGCCACCCGGCCCGGGCTCCATGTGAAGGAGGGACTGGCCTGGCTCCCCGGCCAGCACCCGACTCCTCGCGCGCCCCTCCGGCCCCCGGGGGCCCACGGCCTCCCCCGACCGGGGGGCGCGGTGACAGGCCGCGCGGGGCGGAGGGGCGGGCTAGGAGGCCAGCGCAGGCCCGGGCCTGCGGCTCCCTTCTTACGTCCCCGCCGAGTGGCCGGTAAGTTCGTGTGTGTGTTCGTGTTCGTGTTCGCGTGCGCGCGCGGGGAAGGGGCCGCAGCCGGCCTGTGCGTGCTCCTGGGACAGGGATTTCGCTTACTGGTGGTCCGCACCGGTGAGCGGATGTCGTGCTCCTGGGACAGGGATTTCGCTTACTGGTGGTCCTGCACCGGTGAGCGGATGTCGGACCTCCTGCCCAGGTCTGAGCAAAGTAGACTGCTGGGCTTTGTAAGTGTCAGACACGTACTCCGCAGGGATTTTGGAAGATTATAACTGGACCCTGGGAGAAGCCGAAATGTTACATGCAGTAAGCGAACAAGTGCTTGTCTGCACTGCCACAGTGTGGTACCGTATTTGCCGGCGTATAAGACGACTCGGCGTATAAGACGACCCCCTAACATTTCCACTCAAAATACAGAGTTTGTTATATGGTCGGCTGTGTGCGATTTTGCGAG